TTTACTAGAAGTTTTTAAGTCAACAGACAATGGCAAACGATTGTTAGTGCAGCTAATTTTTAGTATAGGCAGATTAGTCCCTGAGGACTCTGATCACAGATGTACAGTAAAGATGTATAGTAAAGCTGAATCACACAATAACTATGATTAAGCCCTTAACTACTTGCCGACCGCAGATAGCCGAATGACGATCTCACTGCGGCCAGCCAGTCATGTCCCTTAGTCATGTGGGTGGACTAGCCAGCACTCGGCTACACTTGTGTGCTTATATGCTTATGTTGTGGATCTACTACTGGTCAGATATGTAATTTTTTTCTTTCTTTTTTGTTTTTAGCCTAAAACTAGGGCTTATGTGTACTAAACAGCAAAACCTTATTTGACCAAAAAAATGGAGAAAGCTCAACTTTTATGTTGCTGATGTGTGTCCTGCAGCTTCTTTACAGTTGATTCACATGCACTGTCTGCAGTCATGACAGGCTGCATGTGTTTTTTCACAGGGAATATTACCAATTTTTAACTGGTTACAATTGATTGTCCCTGGCCGTGTGCCCTGTGGGAAATATATATCCACAACAACTGAATTATAGTTATTTCTTCAGTTGATACCTTAGCTATTTTTTTTCTGTTAAATCTGGTATTTTCCCTTATTTTTATTTTTTAGAATATAACTTTTACCTTGGGGTGAGTAGATTGCATCAGGCAGTTGTTAATTACACTCTAATCAAAAAGCATTCTTTTTTGCATCGTTTTAAAGAAAAAAAGAAAAGAACACACTCACATTCACCACACACCCCCCAATCCCTATAGATAAAATAAATAGTCAACAGACAGTTGGGCCTGTTATCCCTGATTGAAATTGTCCTGTCACTGTTTAATTTTACACTTCTGTAATATCTTCAATTATGTAGTAAATCTCCAATCTGTGTTCTTTCTCTGTAGTAAATTGTGGCCTAAAATTGCTATTTCAAATAGTCCTTCTACTGGTCAGTTTTGCACTGCTGTGTCATCTCATCCGTGGTCTCATAATTCTTACAGTGAAACTCCTACCTCTTTGTCTGAAGAACATTCTGACATCATTCATCTATGCTCTTTGTCTGAAGAACATTCAGGGGTAAAATTGTGATTTAAAATTGACCTCATACAGGCCAATTTTACACTGCTGTATCCTCTGCGTTCTCTTCATTCTTATAGTAAAACCTGTACCTATCCTCTTTCTAGTAAATGTTAGTCCAAAATTGCTATTTAAAATTGTCTTGCTGCTTGTCAGTTTTACAGCTTTGTCTACATCTGTTGTCTCTTGATTCTTTTAGTAAAACACCTGTGTGTAATTTTTGTCTCTAATACATTTTGGGCAATACTCCCAGATTAAAAATGAAAAATGTACTGCTGCATGCCATACTTTTCTCTAGAATAGATTATAACCTCTAGCTTGGGGTGATTAGACTGCAACAGACAGTTGCTGCTGATAATTTATTCAAGACTTTTTGTTGTAGCATCTCGCTGCATTTTTTGGGAAAAACATGTAAAAATACCGTGCACACAAATCAACACACACCCTTATTCCAGATTATTAAAATGTAGCTCCTCTGTCACAAATTAACCCCCTCCCTCTGTTGGCTGTCTTTGGCACAAACACATGCAGCAGGGCAGGCTAGTACCTCAAGTGCCAGACACCCAGTAATCCATGGATATGATCCTTTGTGTACATTTTAGGTACAGCCTAAGGCCTGGTATACACACTGATGAGCTAGCAAGGAATTCTCTGTGCCAACTCTGCGATGTTAGTACAGTGATCTCCCCGCTGAGCTTGTGTTGTCACAGGGGGACTGACCCCCGGCCAGAAAACACAGGTCGAATGTTGTCCAGTTTTTGTTGAACCAGCCAATTTTCGGCCAATGAATACCATGCTTTACCCTCCATGACCAGGGCAAGGACAATCATATTAGGAGGAAATTAAAAAAAAATAATAATAAACAAATGATAAAGATAATAAAAATGTTAATCTGTAAATAATGTAGAAAAAAATATTAACATATGAAAATAGTGGCGGTCTGTGAGAAAATGTCTGGGTTTGGACCAGTGTTTGGCTCTGCATTATCAATGGTCATGTTTCTGCTCTTTTTATCTTGTTTCAGAAACCGTTGACCTTTCAGTCCTTGATTAAGACGTTCTAATCTGATTCTACTTGTACTTCAGAAAAGGCCTTTTTAGATTGGGGTCATTCCTTTCTCTATTCTGACCTTCAAAGTTGGATTCCATGTACCATCACTTATGCAAAGGCACTGTTTGAGCTGGTGGCCTTATCTTGAGAGTCGCCCATATTTTATTTCTACATAGGACATTAGTGTCTGTGCCCACATTTGATTCAGCAGGGCAGGGAAGGCTTTACAGCTAAAAAACAAAATAAAAAAAATAAAAAGCTTACAACCTTACTTGTACATTTGTAAAAAAAAAAAAAAACTAAAATAAATCCCTACCTTGAATTTCTTTTAAATTCCCTGATTTGAGGAAGGGCAGGAAACTTTTGGTGGTAGGATTCTACACTTATCTATTTTGATGCTTACTTCCCTTCCCTGGCCATACTATTTCTTCATCTATTTGATTCTGCATGCCCTTCCCCCTGCATTTCTCTGAATTGTCTTCCCTACATGTGCTTGTTTCATCAAGAAATAAATTATCTGCAAAATCTGCACAAAAATCTGCAAACAAATAAATACATTTATTAACTCTTTAAACATAAAATACTGTTAAAAACATTAAAAAACCCACTACCTCCATGTGCAGAACCTCTGATAACTTCAGGTCTGACTGACCCTTTTTGCAGGAAGCTTAGGGCTCTAGAAGTATACAAAAAACTTTGCTGCTGCTGCTGCTAGCTGCTCTTTCCCCTGGTCAAGAGATTTTCAGATCTATTTTCCAGTTAAGCCTTCTGTGTTATGCCCACCCACCTTTTGGCAATAGGTTTTCCCCCCTGCAGCTATACTACTAGTGTGGGGAATCGTGCCACCACCAGAAAATTTGGCAAAAAAGTTGTTACAGCAAATCTTGAAAGTGTTGCATTTTGGGCTCCCTTTGGGATGGTAGCAGTTGATCCCAAGATTTTCCCCTAGTATTAGGAAAGGGTAAAACCTTCCCCTGAAGTCTGCTTCAAGTTTCCTCCTCCTCACTGCCAGCACTCCACCCCTCCTCCACACCACCAGCACCCCAGAGGAGATGTAGGAAAAGGATGCATTTGCAGAACATGGAATATGTGGAATGGGGCTCATGAACAGCACTAGAAAGACAAGTGGCTGAGTTCTTGAGGAGGAGGAGGAGGAAGAGAAGCAGAAGGAGGCAAAGGGTTCTTAAGCATCATTGTACGAAAAAATGACTGCTGTGAACCCTTGAGGAGGAGAATAAGGAAATAAAGAAAACAAAGCAGTTTTTTTAACCATATCAGAGGAATGGCAGTATAGGGTGCTCCTAAAAAATACTTAAAAAAAGCACTTAAAAAGGGTCTGCTTAGCCTTGAGGTGGAGGAAAAAGAGTAGCATTATAAAATGAAGTAGCTGCTCTGTGCCCTTAAGGGCGCACCCCAGTAAGGTCTATGTTTCCAATTATGCAGCCTTTAAACCAAAACTTAGCAGTTCGGCTAAGACAGGCAAGGACCTCCACTTTCAAATGATTATAATTATTGGTCTCACTAGGTGGGAGATTGTAGCAGGCCTTTTGTGGATTTACAGTGAGAAAAGGGGCAGGTAGGCTGGCTCATTGTTCTCTCTGCCGCCCCTCTCTTTCTGCTGTCCTATCAAATGTGGTGAGAAATGTTCCTATGTGACTGTCATTTATGGGTTCCTAGTTAACAGGGACAACAGACGCTTGCTCAGTAGAGGGCTGCTTCATTGCCTCCTGCAAGATGGTCAACTGTGCTTGTATGGATTCTCACAGCAAGCTGTGCTGACTGTTTACTTTTTTTCCTCATGCTTTTGTATATGGTTGACCTGTATCAGATGATGGACCCAGTCCTCAAGGTTTTGTGCTTGTGTCTGTTTAGCCTGTGTTTGCAGCTGATTGACTTGAGCTCAAGCTTTAAACATCAGTTTCAGCCATTTAACCAGTTCCCAACCGTGCTATAGCCGAATGATGGCTACAGTGCGGTTGTGTAATCCTGGGACGACGTCAATAGACGTCATTCCAGAACACGTAACCCTGCGCGCCCCCAGCGGCGCGCACCTGGTGCAGCCGATTGCTGTGTCCTATGGACACAGCTGATCACGTGATACAGTAAACAGCCAATCACGGCGGCCTTTTACCACGTGATCAGCTGTGTCCAATGACACAGCAGATCATCAGGTAAATACAGTTGCCAGTTATCGGCTGCACTTTCCTCACTCTGTCACAGCGTAAGGAAATTACTGCCGAGAACCGGCAATTGTCAGTGAAGGGATCGGCACTGATCATCAGGGCACTGATCATCAGTGCCCTGATGATCAGTGCCACCCACCTGTGCCCAGCAGTGCCACCCACCTGTGCCCTGCAGTGCCACCCACCTGTGCCACCAACCTGTGCCCATCAGTGCCACCTACCTGTGCCCTGAAGTGCCAGCCACCTGTGTCCATCAGTGCCACCCGCCTGTACCCATCAGTGCCGCCTATCAGTGCTGCCCAGCAGTGCCCCCATCATCGCTGTCCATCATTGCCACCCATCAGTGCCCAGCAGTGCTGCCCATCAGTGCAGCATCATCAGTGCTTGCCATCAGTGCTGCATATCAGTGCAGCATCATCAGTGCCCCCTATCAATGGCGTCTATTAGAGATGAGCGAAGAAATGAAAAATTCGATTTGACTGATTCGGCGAATTCGTGGACAATATTCGATTCGAGTCGAATAAATTCGCTGTGTGAATTTAACTTAAAAAAGGGTGTTTCTAGGCTTCAGAGAGACTTAATATTAGTGCAGAACACTGTACCTTTAATTTAAATGCCCTTGGAGTCTGCTGGGGAAGAGAAATAATACTGTCAGTCAGTATGACATGCAGATGAGTGCCGTCGATCTTAGAATCACCGCACACTTCACTCATTTGGCCAGTCACGGGGCCAAAACCAGTGTTTGGAGCCACAGTGTGGCGGTGGAGGCAGCAGCAATGGGAGGCCATACAGCAACCTATGACAAAATGGAAACCAGCAGGAGTGTGAGGAGACCTGAAAGTGGCACATGGCAGAGTGGGAGCAATGGGAGGCGGTACAAGGACCCATGTCACACTGTGGACCCAGCAGCAGCGTGACCAGGCGGTACGGGGGCCCATGGCAGATTACAGGCCTGGCAGCAGCAATGGGAGGCCCGTAATCTGCCAGCACCCTATGACAAAAAATGTAACACACCAGCAGTGTGTGAGGAGACCTGAAAGTGGCACATGGCAGAGTGTGGCGATGGAGACAGCAGCAATGGGAGGCCGTACAGGGACCCATGAGAGACTCTGGACCTGGCAGCAGCATGAGGAGGCGGTATAGGGGCCCATGGCAGATTAGGGGCCTGGCAGCAGCTATAGGAGGCCCGTAATCTGCCAGCACCCTATGACAAAAAAATTGAACACACCAGCAGTGTGTGAGGAGACCTGAAAGTGGCACATGGCAGAGTGTGGCGATGGAGACAGCAGCAATGGGAGGCCGTACAGGGACCCATGAGAGACTCTGGACCTGGCAGCAGCATGAGGAGGCGGTATAGGGGCCCATGGCAGATTAGGGGCCTGGCAGCAGCTATAGGAGGCCCGTAATCTGCCAGCACCCTATGACAAAAAATTGAACACACCAGCAGTGTGAGGACCTGGAGTGGCACATGCACCTGAAAGTGGGCACATGGCAGAGGAGGCTGTACAGGGACCTGAGAGACTGGACCTGGCAGCAGCATGAGGAGGCGGTATAGGGGCCCATGGCAGATTAGGGGCCTGGCAGCAGCTATGTGAGGCCCGTAATCTGCCAGCACCCTATGACAAAAAATGTAACACACCAGCAGTGTGAGGAGACCTGAAAGTGGCACATGGCAGAGTGTGGCGATGGAGATGGAGACAGCAGCAATGGGAGGCCGTACAGGGACCCATGAGAGACTCTGGACCTGGCAGCAGCATGAGGAGGCGGTATATAGGGGCCCATGGCAGATTAGGGGCCTGGCAGCAGCTATGGGAGGCCCGTAATCTGCCAGCACCCTATGTCAAAAAATTGAACACACCAGCAGTGTGAGGAGACCTGAAAGTGGCACATGGCAGAGTGTGGCGATGGAGACAGCAGCAATGGGAGGCCGTACAGGGACCCATGAGAGACTCTGGACCTGGCAGCAGCATGAGGAGGCGGTATATAGGGGCCCATGGCAGATTAGGGGCCTGGCAGCAGCTATTGGAGGCCCGTAATCTGCCAGCACCCTATGTCAAAAAATTGAACACACCAGCAGTGTGAGGAGACCTGAAAGTGGCACATGGCAGAGTGTGGCGATGGAGACTGCAGCAATGGGACCTGGGACCCATGAGAGCAGCATGAGGAGGCGGTATAGGGGCCCATGGCAGATTAGGGGCCTGGCAGCAGCTATGGAGGCCCGTAATCTGCCAGCACCCTATGTCAAAAAATTGAAACACACCAGCAGTGTGAGGAGGAGACCTGAAAGTGGCACATGGCAGAGTGTGGCGATGGAGACAGCAGCAATGGGAGGCCGTACAGGGACCCATGAGAGACTCTGGACCTGGCAGCAGCATGAGGAGGCGGTATCGGGTATATAGGGGCCCATGGCAGATTAGGGGCCTGGCAGCAGCTATATGAGGCCCGTAATCTGCCAGCACCCTATGTCAAAAAATTCAACACACCAGCAGTGTGTGAGGAGACCTGAAAGTGGCACATGGCAGAGTGTGGCGATGGAGACAGCAGCAATGGGAGGCCGTACAGGGACCCATGAGAGACTCTGGACCTGGCAGCAGCATGAGGAGGCGGTATATAGGGGCCCATGGCAGATTAGGGGCCTGGCAGCAGCTATGGGAGGCCCGTAATCTGCCAGCACCCTATGACAAAAAATGTAACACACCAGCAGTGTGAGGAGACCTGAAAGTGGCACATGGCAGAGTGTGGCGATGGAGACAGCAGCAATGGGAGGCCGTACAGGGACCCATGAGAGACTCTGGACTTGGCAGCAGCATGAGGAGGCGGTATATAGGGGGCCCATGGCAGATTAGGGGCCTGGCAGCAGCTATGGGAGGCCCGTAATCTGCCAGCACCCTATGACAAAAAATGTAACACACCAGCAGTGTGAGGAGACCTGAAAGTGAATGGCAGAGTGGCACATGGCAGAGTGTGGCGATGGAGACAGCAGCAATGGGAGGCCGTACAGGGACCCATGAGAGACTCTGGACCTGGCAGCAGCATGAGGAGGCGGTATATAGGGGCCCATGGCAGATTAGGGGGCCTGGCAGCAGCTATGGGAGGCCCGTAATCTGCCAGCACCCTATGTCAAAAAATTCTACACACCAGCAGTGTGTGAGGAGACCTGAAAGTGGCACACATGGCAGAGTGTGGCGATGGAGACAGCAGCAATGGGAGGCCGTACAGGGACCCATGAGAGACTCTGGACCTGGCAGCAGCATGAGGAGGCGGTATATAGGGGCCTATGGCAGATTAGGGGCCTGGCAGCAGCTATAGGAGGCCCGTAATCTGCCAGCACCCTATGTCAAAAAATTCAAACACACCAGCAGTGTGTGAGGAGACCTGAAAGTGGCACATGGCAGAGTGTGGCGATGGAGACAGCAGCAATGGGAGAGGCCGTACAGGGACCCATGAGAGACTCTGGACCTGGCAGCAGCATGAGGAGGCGGTATATAGGGGCCCATGGCAGATTAGGGGCCTGGCAGCAGCTATGGGAGGCCCGTAATCTGCCAGCACCCTATGTCAAAAAATTCTACACACCAGCAGTGTGAGGAGACCTGAAAGTGGCACATGGCAGAGTGTGGCGATGGAGACAGCAGCAATGGGAGGCCGTACAGGGACCCATGAGAGACTCTGGACCTGGCAGCAGCATGAGGAGGCGGTATATAGGGGCCCATGGCAGATTAGGGGCCTGGCAGCAGCTATGGGAGGCCCGTAATCTGCCAGCACCCTATGTCAAAAAATTGAAAACACACACCAGCAGTGTGAGGAGACCTGAAAGTGGCACATGGCAGAGTGTGGCGATGGAGACAGCAGCAATGGGAGGCCGTACAGGGACCCATGAGAGACTCTGGACCTGGCAGCAGCATGAGGAGGCGGTATATAGGGGCCCATGGCAGATTAGGGGCCTGGCAGCAGCTATGGGAGGCCCGTAATCTGCCAGCACCCTATGTCAAAAAATTCAACACACCAGCAGTGTGAGGAGACCTGAAAGTGGCACATGGCAGAGTGTGGCGATGGAGACAGCAGCAATGGGAGGCCGTACAGGGACCCATGAGAGACTCTGGACTTGGCAGCAGCATGAGGAGGCGGTATATAGGGGCCCATGGCAGATTAGGGGCCTGGCAGCAGCTATGGAGGCCCGTAATCTGCCAGCACCCTATGACAAAAAAATGTAACACACACCAGCAGTGTGTGAGACCTGAAAGTGGCACATGGCAGAGAGTGTGGCGATGGAGACAGCAGCAATGGGAGGCCGTACAGGGACCCATGAGAGACTCTGGACCTGGCAGCAGCATGAGGAGGCGGTATATAGGGGGGCCCATGGCAGATTAGGGGCCTGGCAGCAGCTATGGGAGGCCCGTAATCTGCCAGCACCCTATGTCAAAAAATTCAACACACCAGCAGTGTGAGGAGACCTGAAAGTGGCACATGGCATGTGGCGAGGAGACAGCACTGTGGAGGCCGTACAGCAGCCCATGAGACTCTGGAGGCAGCAGCATGGGAGGCGGGTATAGGGGCCCATGGCAGATTAGGGGCCTGGCAGCAGCTATGGGAGGCCCGTAATCTGCCAGCACCCTATGTCAAAAAAATTGAACACACCAGCAGTGTGTGAGGAGACCTGAAAGTGGCACATGGCAGAGTGTGGCGATGGAGACAGCAGCAGCAATGGGAGGCCGTACAGGGACCCATGAGAGACTCTGGACCTGGCAGCAGCATGAGGAGGCGGTATATAGGGGCCCATGGCAGATTAGGGGCTGGCAGCAGCTATAGGAGGCCCGTAATCTGCCAGCACCCTATGTCAAAAAATTTCAACACACCAGCAGTGTGAGGAGACCTGAAAGTGGCACATGGCAGAGTGTGGCGATGGAGACAGCAGCAATGGGAGGCCGTACAGGGACCCATGAGAGACTCTGGACCTGGCAGCAGCATGAGGAGGCGGTATATAGGGGCCCATGGCAGATTAGGGGCCTGGCAGCAGCTATGGGAGGCCCGTAATCTGCCAGCACCCTATGTCAAAAAATGTAACACACAGCAGTGTGTGAGGAGACCTGAAAGTGGCACATGGCAGAGTGTGGCGATGGAGACAGCAGCAATGGGAGGCCGTACAGGGACCCATGAGAGACTCTGGACTGGCAGCAGCATGAGGAGGCGGTATAGGGGCCCATGGCAGATTAGGGGCCTGGCAGCAGCTATGGAGGCCCGTAATCTGCCAGCACCCTATGTCAAAAAATGTAACACACCAGCAGTGTGAGGAGACCTGAAAGTGGCACATGGCAGAGTGTGTGGCGATGGAGACAGCAGCAATGGGAGGCCGTACAGGGACCCATGACAGACTCTGGACCTGGCAGCAGCATGAGGGAGGCGGTATAGGGGCCCATGGCAGATTAGGGGCCTGGCAGCAGCTATGGGAGGCCCGTAATCTGCCAGCACCCTATGTCAAAAAAATTCAACACACCAGCAGTGTGAGGAGACCTGAAAGTGGCACATGTGGCATGAGACAGCAGCAATGGGGACAGGGACCTGAGAGACTCTGGACCTGGCAGCAGCATGAGGAGGCGGTATAGGGGGCCCATGGCAGATTAGGGGCCTGGCAGCAGCTATGGGAGGCCCGTAATCTGCCAGCACCCTATGACAAAAAATGTAACACACCAGCAGTGTGTGAGGAGACCTGAAAGTGGCACATGTTTGGGGCATGATTCATGGCGGATTTAGTCAGTTGTGTCAGGAACTGGTGGTTTGAAATCCAGACTAATCCACGCCTGATTCATTTTCACAAACGTGAGTCTCTCCACACTTTGGGTGGACAGTCGTGTCCTCCGCGGAGTTACAATACCTCCTGCCGCACTAAACACGCGCTCGATCCGATGCCACTACTGGCCGGGCATGACAGCCTTTCAAGGGCAAATTCAGCTAGTTGGGGCCAAAGGTCAAGTTTCGTTGCCCAGTAGTCAAGGGGATTGTCTACCTCGGTTGGCAGGGTGCTGTCCAAGTAGGCCTAAGCCTGTTGTTTGAGGTCCTGCTCCAGGTCCACCTGATGCTGCTGCTGCTGCGGCTGGTTAGTTAGTTTCCTCACTGCGCTGGTGAAGAAAAAGCTACTCATCATCGACTGCAGACTGAGGCAGCCGCTGCTGGTGGAGCTGCCACTGCTCCTACCACCCCACCCCTCCCCCCCTGCTGCCATGGCAGCGGAACGCGAGCGCACAGGGCCCACAGTGTCTGAGGATGGACGTTGGCGCAGAAAGGCAGAGACCAGCTGACTACATAGGTGGTTTTTATAGTACGTTATTTTGGCCTCCCTCTCAGCAGGTGTGAAAAAAGGCCACCATTTTTGAACGGTAGCGAGGGTCCAACAAGGTGGACAGCCAAAAGTCATCCCTCTGTCTGATGGTTATTATTCGGCTGTCGCTACGCAAGCAAGCGAGCATGCTATGGGCCATTTGTGCCAAGGAATGCGAGGGACTCCCTGCCTCCATCTCCACAGCATACTGCCACGGTGCGTCTGGGTCCTCTGTCTCCTCCTGCTCCTCCTCTACCAGATGCTCCTGCTCCTCCACTCCTGTCCGCTGAGTGGAAAAACCACCCATTTCACTCAATAATTCCTGAGCACAAATGTCCTCCTCTACCTCCTCCTCTTCTTCCTGTCCTGCCCCCACAGGGGTCATGTGGCGTTGAGATCGGTGCGCCACGTCTACCGCACCCTGACCAGCCATTGTTAACAGCATTTGTTCCAGGACGTGCAACAGAGGAATGATGTCGTTCATCCCATAGTCCTGCCGACTCACGAATAGCGTGGCCTCCTCAAAGGGCCTGAGCAAGCGGCAGGTGTCACGCATGAGCTGCCAATGGCTGACATCGAAGTTACACAGGGGAGTACCTTTATCCGCTTGTAACATCAGGAAATCGGTGATGGCCTTTCGCTGTTCGTAAAGGCGGTCTACCATGTGTAGGGTTGAATTCCACCTTGTTGCAACGTCGCAGATCAGGCGATGCTGTGGAATTCCGTTCTGCCGCTGCAGCTCAAGGAGGGTGTGCTTTGCGGTGTAGGAATGGCTGAAATGCATGCAAAGTTTACGTGACATTTTAAGGATGTCTTGCAGTGGGATGGTGGATTTTAGGAACCGCTTGACAACCAGATTGAACACGTGAGCCATGCATGGCGCATGGCACAACCTTACTTGACGCAGAGCAGACACACCATGTTCTTTCCGTTGTCGGTCAACATGGTTCCGATTTTCAGTTTGCGCGGAGACAGCCATCTGTCGATTTCTCTGTTCATTACACTGAGAAGTTCCTCCCCTGTGTGACTACGTTCGCCTGGACCTGGCAGCAGCATGAGGAGGCGGTATAGGGGCCCATGGCAGATTAGGGGCCTGGCAGCAGCTATAGGAGGCCCATAATCTGCCAGCACCCTATGTCAAAAAATTCAACACACCAGCAGTGTGAGGAGACCTGAAAGTGGCACATGGCATGAGACACTGTGGACCTGGCAGCAGCAGCATGAGGAGGCGGTATATAGGGGCCCAGCAGCATAGGAGGGGGGCCCATGGCAGATTAGGGGCCTGCCTGGCAGCATCTATGGGAGGCCCGTAATCTGCCAGCACCCTATGTCAAAAAATTTCAACACACACCAGCAGTGTGTGAGGAGACCTGAAAGTGGCACATGGCAGAGTGTGGCGATGGAGACAGCAGCAATG